CAACTCCAGCTAATTTGGGAAATGATGTTTCGGCAAGTTCATACATGAGTCATCTTTAGGGGCCTCCTATCAGGTCTGCCGGCTGCTAGGAATCCCATTCAAACCACCTCTGCCAACAGCTGCTCAGGAGACCAGGAAACATTTGGAGTTGCTGTGGTTGGATTTTTGGGAACATATTTAGCCTGTGTCTATGCTATTTCTTATCTCCTTACAGTATTGCTAATGTTGTTAGTATTATTAGTATCACATGCAGTCCAAAGATCGCATTGGGCCTGGTTTAATGTAACTGAGATATTTTTCTTTTTTTTTGGCAAGATCAGATAAGAAACAAACATGAACAAGAATTAAGATAGAAAGCCACCGCAACTCCAGCACCATGGGAGGCTCTGGGCAGTGCCCTGTAAAGGCAGAGAGGCAGTCAGGCAGGAGCTGGAGACTGGGGCCAGCCCCCCACTGCAATACACTAGGGCTGTGACCCTAGCGGCCCTCCGGCAAAATAGGGGTAAACGGCACTGCTGTAGCCTCAGGGCAGCTGTGGGGATGGAGTGAAATGACTTGCCTATCCGTGCATTCCCAAGGCTACAGGAAGTGGCAGGAATGCTCAGGCCCATTTTGATGTCACCCCTGGACTGTGGTCCTCGGGAGGCCAGCTCCCGTGGGCTCTGCACCACTGCCAGGCGTCACAGTGCTCGCCAGCGAGGAGGGACTCGGCGAGTGCTGTGTGACGTGGGAACCAGCGCCATGAAAACGTCCTATGTGCTGACTGGGTACATTGTGACCACAAAGATTGCTAATTGTGGGAAAAAAGGAAGTATGAAATTTTCAAGGCCTTACAAACTGATCAGAATACAGTGCCCGCTGACCTACAAGGACTCTTTCCTGGGCCCGAAACATGCGGCCTCCTGAGACACCACTTGTGCTTTTTATCTGTTCTAAGAAGATAATGACAGAAAGTTACTGCAGATGCAGTCAGTGCAAACTTTTCTTTTTCATTTATATTAACAGTATCTTCACCCATTTGAAAAATACAGCACTTGAGCCTGAGACACCACATTTATTGTGTCCTCAGGAGGCACTCAGGGTGCGCCTGCCGCCACTTCACCAGCCCCGGCAGGGCACTCAGCTCGCGGCTACGGGGAGCCCACAGGGCTGACGGAGGGTTCTGTGAATGACGAGACTCCTAAACAGACTGTGGCTCGCTGGGAACACTGAGCAGGGGGGAAAGGCTTTATAAAAAACCCCAAACTGCGTAATTTACATCTTCCTAAGGTCTGTTTGTCCCAGCGAGAGGGGAAGGGCCTGGAGGCTGGGATCTCAGCTGCATCCCAAGGGCCCTTGAGGTGCTGGTTGAACTGCTGATGAAGGGCTGAGTGAATCAGGGGCAAGACACTGAGATCCTGACCAGGACAGTGAGTGAAACCGATGCCCCCTTCTCCCCTGCTGTCCCTGCTAACTCGCCACCCACCCACCCACCCCCGAGCCTCAATTCCTTGAGGTTCCTGGCTCCCTCCCCCCTAAGTCTTATGTGATGCCCTTGAACCTCCCCTGCACCCCCCACACTTGTGAGCTCCACACTGCTGCGGTGTGATGTCTGCCAAGTTCACCGCTGGCTCTCCAGAGCCTTGCAGAGCGCCTGGCAGGGCAAGCCTCATTCGGCACTATACGAAGAAAATGAGGAAACATCAATGAAGGACTGGGGCAAAGACTTCAAAGCTCAGATGAAAAGCCAACGAGAGAGGGGTTTCTCCCGGGAAGGGGACGCAACCCCAAATATCAACAGCTTCAGTGGGAAACAGGCCTCAGTGATGTGGCTGGAGGTGGAGAAGTGAGCCCCCACCACAGCTACCTTGTAAGAAACAGGCCTCAGAGTTACCAGAGCATCTCATTTTTTCCAGATAACCAGTCACCTGAGATTTCTGGGTGATTCCCTGATTTTTAAACACTGGCCATCAGTGCTTTCTTTTTTCTTCAAGAACACGTGTGGACCAAACGCAACACATCTACCGACTGAATCCAGCCTGCAGCCACCGGTCTGTTACGTCAGTTCACGGGCAAGAGAGGTGTTTAAGCCCCAGAGCATTAGGACATCAGCTCTCCCTGCCTGATGTGTTTGCTGGAAGCGTGACCCACCCTGCTGGTGTGCACAGCCAAAACCATGCCCACTGGTCCCCCGGAGTGGCCTCTGAGAGGCCAGTGCTGGTCTTCCAGGACAAGTCCCTCCGGGTTCCTAGGGAAGAGCCTCCTTTTGCCAGGCCTGCCCACGAGCTTGCCCAGCGGAGCTCTGGGATCCATTTGTCTCCACTCCACTCTCTGCCTCCTCATTACCCCTACAAGACACCAAGGAGTCCAGAAACCAACCCCCCTACACCACTTCCTTCTTCCTGGCCCTCAAATTCAGTCTCCCCTCCACCAAGCCTAACTAGACAGGCCAGCCAGCCAGTACGCTGGCCCTCTGCCACCCTCTGGAACCCAGACTGTCTGGATGCCCCACGGAGCCTGGAGCAGCAGCACCTGAGACTTGCCTTTCTACGTCCCTATGAAAATGGGAGGTCCTCAGAGGAGGACAGCATGTATAACCCCACCCAGTGTGGGCCCTGCTGAATGAATCAATAAAGGTATTGAAGGGTAGCATGACAGACTCAGAAGATCTCCCGGAGAAGCTGGCAATGCTTATGCACTGGGTGCCAGGCTCTGTGATTTACCGGACTGTTCACTTGCTAACAGGAGTCCCTGCTTCACCTGAAGACCTTTCCTTTAAGTGAAACACTGCTGGCAGCTTATGGTTGGTCCCTTTAGAAAACCCCAACAGAAAACTAACAGGAAATCTTGTTGAGATGTGAAGCAAAGTCCAGCTATAATGACCAGTAGAAGCCACCCTCCACTCCGAGAGTGTTCCAGTCTTCCTTGACACTTGTGTGTGAATTACAGCAAGAGCCGTTGTGCTGGAAGGATGGACCTCTTGCTGGCTCCCCTGAGGTGCCCGGTCTTGCCAACCTCAGAACTTCCGCGCTTAGCTGCCTCTCACCAAATGCATTTTCTTCCTGACCTTTCTACAGAAGGTCCTGGTCAGCCTCCTCCACTCTGCCCTCTCACCGCATATCCTCTTCCACCTGGGGTACCTTCACCCTCTCTTCAGAGTCTGGCGCAAACACTGTCCCCTCCAGAGCCTCCCCCATTCCCTCAGCTGACCAGGCCCCTCCCCTGTGCCCACCTGTCCTGACTACTGCTGTCACCCAGTAGCTGTGCACTCCACGTGGCCTGGAGCCAGGGGCACACAAGCTTCTCTGGAGGTAGGCACTTCTGGTTTCTGCACCTACTGCCACCCCAGCAGAGGGAGGTGCCCCGAGAGGGCCTATGCTGACATGGACTGGCCTTAGGCATTCCTCTCTCCACATAGCAGTGAATGCAAATGAAGTCATCTCCTTCCAGAGGTCTGAGCTGCGGAAAGCAGCTCAGGGGACGACAGGTGCTTTTCATTCAGCTCTTTTTACTTTTCCATGATTTCCAAGTTTCGACAATGAACATATCCTTATAATAAAAAAAAACCCCATTAATGTTATTTTTTAAGTAAATTATCCAAGGATCCCAATAATACCACTCAGACACTATGTAAGGAGCTGCTGAGAAATGTGCACAAATCAACCAAAGATATTTCTGGAAAGGCCCGTGTGCAGGGAAGCAACTTGTGGTTACTAGGCACAGCTCTGGGGCTAAAGAACACCCACATGAGAAAAATACCCAAGAAACGGCACCCGAAACCAAGAGCCTGTACCCGAGGAGGGCACCCAGGCTTCCCGTAAGAAACCCAGGCCTCAAGGCCCTGCCCCCTGCCCTCTGGCCGGGGTGCGGGGAGGAAAAGGGGCTGCAGGAACTCACTGAGCAGCCTGAGCTTCGAAACTGGAACCACATTCAGAGAATCGGCAAAGATTTACTAAGCAATACATTTAGGGAGCTCAGCACACAGCCAGATACAGAGAAAACCCTCAATAAAGGCTACAAATTTTCCTTTCTGTGCACAAACCAGAATGTGCAAATTTCACTGCCTTCTGAGTCCACTACTGAGGGACATCTCAGGAAAGTATCCGGGTTCAACCTGGGAAACGTAAGCAACTTCCAAAGTCAATGCCAACTACCCCCGCTGCAGCCCCCTAAAAGCCTGCCTTCCCTAACTCAGCTGCCAAGCTAACCCAGTACCCAGATTATGACACCCAGTCGTGTTCCCGACACAGGAGCTCTGGACTGCCCGCCACCCTCACCTGGGACCCAAGGAGTCACCCTGCAAAGTGTCGCTGGCTAATTAAGCCCTGGCCCCATGTGCACAGCCATAATTAAATCTTAGGAGACCTTCTCCCAGTCTAGGTGAAAACAAGGTAATAGGAAGGGAGCTCTCCGAGATTTCTAGGAACACACAAAGAGACGGGGCTTACATCAGGATTCACCGTGTCCCCGAACCCAGCCGGCGGCTCCCCTCTCATCCCGCTTGCACAGCTTGGCTTGAAACCAGAGAAAAACTCGGCGGAGCCCAGCAGATGCCCAGACACATCCTGCCTGTGCCTTTGATGCCACCGAAGAGGTTACTTCTGGTTAAATTTAAACTCGGGGCTCATTAGGAACGGCACATTTTATGGCTCAGCTCTATTCACCGTCTAAAAGACGACCCCACGGCCGGGCTCGGGGCGCGGAAGCCACCTGGACACGCGGCCGGGGCTTCTCCCCCTCGGCGGGTCCGAGCCGTTGTCTGCAAGTTCCCGGGAGGCCGGAGGCTCAAAGGGAGGGGCCCCGGCCGTGCCGCCCCGCGCCCGCCCGGCCCGAGCCCGCAGCCCGCGGTGCGCCCCGGAGAGCGCGCAGCAGGGCGGCCGCGCCCGGACTGCCTTCCGGGGAGGCGCGCGCCGCCCGCGCAGGCCCGGGGGCTTCGGCTCGCCGCCCGCGCCCGGCAGGCCGCGCATCGCGCCCGACCCCGCGGGCCGCCGGGCAGGGGCCCAGCCGGCCGCCGCGCTCACCTGCTTTCTCGATCTTGCCGGACATTTCCGGGCTGCGCCGGAGGCCGAGGCCGCCGCTCATCGGGCCCGGGCCGGGCCGCTGCGGGGCCACAGGCCGGCGCGGCCGCCGCTTGCCTCGGCCCTGGCTCGCGCGCCTCAGACCCGCGCCGGCATGGCGGCTCCGCGGGCCGCGGCCTCTGCGCTCGGCCAGCGGCGCTCCAGCCCGCCGGGGCCGCCCTCCCGCCGCCGCCGCTCCCGCCGCTGCCGCCGCCGCCGCCGCTCCCCGGCCCGCGAGCCGGCCGCAGCGCCGCCGCCCGCCGCCCCTGGCCCGGGCGCAGCCAGAGCGCCACCTGCCGGGCTCCCGCTCGCCGCCGCCAGCCCAGCGCCCCCTGCCGGCCCGGAGCCGGCCAGCGCCTCCCGCCGGGACGCAGTGCCCCCTGCCGGCCCGGAGTCCCCGCGCCGGGGAGAGGGGCGACCCCCACCCGCACCCCTGCCCGCGCGTGGCCTCGGCGCCAGGGTCTGCGGGGTGCTTCACCAGGAGCTCAGCGCTCTCTGCAGGCCAGAATCTCCATACCAAGGCCTGGGATGGACCCACCCGACCTTCCCCCCAACACCCTGGACTCAGCAACCCCTGCCAGCCCAGTCTCCACTCCAGGGCCTGGGACTGACACTCCCCACACCACCCCACCATCATCCAGTACTAGCATCTCTGTGGGCCAGAGTCTGCAAACCAAGGCCTGAGATTTGACCCCAATGAGGGATCAGCACCCAATACAAGCTGGGAGCCTGTCCCTGCCCTCCCACCTGAGACACAGCCCCCCCTGCTGGCCTGTGGTCTTCACACCAGGGCCTTGGACTGAATCACCCCACCCCCAGCATTCAGCGCCCCTCCTGCTCAGAGCCTGACATGCCTCCCAGACAGGGACACTGTATCCCATCCAAATTTTAGCCTCCATGTCAGGACCCGCAGCTGACACCCCCAACTCCCATCCTCCCAGGATTCAGAGCCCCATGCTGGCCCTGCGTCCATGCCAAGGCATGAGACCAACTCCCCCTTCCCATCACCTGGGTTGCAGCAGCCCCTGCTTGCTGAGTCACATGGCCAGGCCTAGGCCTCATTCCAGCCCGGTATTCAGTGTCCTCTGCCATCCCAGAGGCTCCAGGCTTGGGGGTGACCTGACCTCACACACCGCCACCCTCTGAGATTCAGCAGCCCCTGAGGGCAAGAGCCACCTTGCCTGGTCTGGGCCTGACCCCACCCAAGGCTCAGTGTCCCCAGAGGCCCAGAGCCTCCATGCCAAAGCCTAGGACTCCATTTTCTCTCCTGTTTCCCTTGAAACCAGTAAATTAAATAATGTGGTAAAGAGGACAGGATTCAGGTGAGGCACAGGGAGAAAGAAGGGTGGCTGATGCTGCAAAAATAAATAAAAAGATTCCTATTTGCATCGCCCTGTACACTCTGGTGGGTTCACTGAGCCTGTAACTGAGAGCTGGTCGTGTACGGCAGCCAAATTTCAGAGTCATTAGTTCCAGCCCTCTAAGGGTCAAAGGCAAAGCCAAAGATTGACAAATTCATTTCTCTTTTCGAGCTGATAAATGGCTGCTCTGAGCCAGAGAGGCCCTGCGCTGCCCTTGCGGCAGCTGCACTGTCAGGCAGAACTGGCCCTTGGCCCCAGACCCACCTCCCCACCACACCCAAAGCTACCCTCAACCCTTCTAAGCTCCTAAGCTAAGAAGGCCAGTAATTCAGGTCTGATATCCTATGTGCAAAGTAGAAAATTAGACTGAAGGAATAACAGGCCTCGTCACGGGTTTATGAGATTAAAACCAAATATATTTAATAAATCATGGACTGTCAAATGGCAAGGGCCTTTCGAACAGTCAAGAACTCTACAAACAGACAATCCTGTAAACAAGGGCCATGTGTCTTATTTCATAAAGGTTATTCATCAAAGGTGTTTACAGCTCTAATAGAAATACTCAAGGTACTGAAGTCAACAAATCCCTAAAGCTTTGTTCTTTCCACCCCGGGGGCCTTCTTGCTTGCTGCTCTTTCTGTTTAGAATATTCTCTCTCCTCCTCTCCACCTGGCTGATTCCTAGTCATTTTTCACTTCTCAATTTAACTGCCGCTTCTTCGGGGAATCCCTCACTGACACCCCCAATGGGTTCAGTTCCCTGTACTGTGCAAGAGGCTTGACTTCACTGTCAGAAACCCAGCTCAGCTTGGTTAGGGCAAAAAAGGAATCTGTTGGACATCACAACTAGCAAACCAGGATAGCGCCAGACCAACACGGCTACTACCTGCAGCTCCGAAGCGGCACTGCCCTTCTGGGTTTGCTCCATTCTCAGGCAACCTCTCTACGCACTAGCAGAGTTGGGTGCCAGCAGGCTCTCATTAGCCTAGTTTGTGTCACCTGCCTATCCCCGGGCCAGTGACTGCAGGCAAGGGCGTAGGATGCATAAACTGGCTAGGCCTGGGAAGCGCCGAATATGAGAAAGCCGGAGCGTGGCTGCCATGGAACCAGGAACTGGGAGTGGGAGAGGGTGGATACTCAAAGCAGTCCTTGGCGAAGAGATGCTGACGAGGCAAATCCATAGACAGCAGCCTCCCGAAGGCTGAGAGCCCCTGTGTCTCCTCCTAACACACGCCTGCATGTATTTACTCTGCATTTGTTTAATGCCTGTCCTCTTCAGGTTGCTGTGAAGGCACAGTCCATTCGTATTCGTGGGATTTTACTTTATCGACGTGACTCCGTGACAAGCCAGTGCCATTGCAAGGATTCCTCACTTACACCTCCCGAGGCGGGGGCGCCCCAGGGTGGTCACATGGCAGAAGCAGGAGTGAGGGGGAGGCGTAGGCCACAGTCTTTGTTGGGGTTTGTCCTGAGAGGCCAGGCAGGCAGGTGAGCGGTTTAGGCTGGCTGGTGTGAGTAAATCCCACAGACGGGCAGGCCTGGGATGATTTAAGGAGGAAACACTGGCTTGGTGTGTGAGTTAGGGAAAGGGGTGGTTGGGGCTGTAGACTCAGGATTGGCTGGTTTGCATATGAAAGGCATGTTCCCTTTCCTAGCTCTGGGAACTGGCCAGCCCTAGGAGGGCAGTCAGTCTCTCCCAGGCTGGCAAAAATCTTAAGATGTCAAAGCATCCTAAGATACAGAAAGTGACAAACAGTATTGGCACTGGGACCACGTCTGGCTCAGGCACTGCGGCACCGGCTCGGGCGCAAGGGAAGAGCTCGGGCTGCAGTTGCTGGGCTGTTGCCGGGCCTTCCCCCCGACACCCAGGGAGCACGACCTGATGACCACTGCACAGGGCTCCAGACTCTGCAGTGGGAGGGACAGCAAGGCGGCCAGTGCTTGCTGAGAGCCTGCCAGAGATGGGGCCCTTTCCAAAAGCGTCCTACCCGACAACCCTGTTGGCATTTGCAGACACCATTCAGCTACCACGCTCAGCTGGATGAGGTGAGGCTGGTGGCTCCAGGGCTCCCCTCCGCCTGGACTGCTGGCAGGCGGTTCACAGGTACCTGCCTGAATTCCCTGACTGTTCCCTGAGGACAGAGATGATGGCTCAGTTTATCTTCACTGCAGATCAGAAGAGTCCCCAGATGACAGTCACGGGACAGGGCTTCTTGAGGCTGGTGCTGCTTACTCGGAGTTCAGCCCTCCCAGGAATCCTGGGGTGGGGGCTAGATCAGGGAGTGTTTGCTTGGTCACCTGCTACAGACACCGATTTAATCAGGCCCTAGCAAAAAGAGGCATTTATTGAAAAGCACAGTGGTGTCTGGGTAGAAATGAAGGGCAAGAAATGCAACACCTCGCCAGCACCTGTACAGCACACACAATTCCCTCCCCACCCGCCCCAGGTCCCCTCCTTACCCACCTCGGCCCACAGATCGGTTCCACGAAGGATGCTCATTCCTAGACCTGAGTTCCAGGGGAGATGATCTGACTGGCCCAGCTCCAGTCAGGGAAGCACCACTGGTCCGATTCCCGCTGGCCAAGTGGGTGGGTTATACAGGGACAAACACAGCTGCTGGGGTCTACCCCTGGGGGTCCGGCTGTCAGCAGAGGAGAGCAGACACTTCCATCTTCTACAGTAAATATTAACTCCCCCTTGGTTGAGCAGGTAACACAAAGACACATGTCTAGTAAGTGGTCAGCCTGCTCCAGGCTCAAGTTTTGACCACTGCGCTACAGCCTCTCTCACCCACACTTATCTTTATGTACCCCATGGTGTTCTCCAAGATGTCTGATCTTTGTTCCGTTCCATGCCATGGCATGCCATCCTTTTCCCATGGGTTGTCCTCAGTGTCCTGGGGCCCAGGAGGAGAGTAAAGATGAACAGACTTGGGGCCCGGGCTCCAGGAGTTCCAGGTCGTGGCCATGCTGTGATGAACATGGCAGCTGGGGTGCCCGCCACATGTCTGGGTGTGCAGGTATTCATTTCCATTTAGAGCACCAGGAAAGTCCAAATAGTGGAACAAATGTTTTAGTGACTTTGAGTGGCATGTGACTTTGTTTTCATTGAGATGTTGCTCATTATTTATTCTTGTGAGCATGAGGGCCCCACACCCCCAAATGGCTTAATCCTGATGTGGCGCCAGAGCTCAGGAACCAAGGGAGATGCCCGCAGACTTCTCAGGTGGGCGGGGACGGACGTCTGGGTCATTACGCTGCCCTCTAAACGTGGCATCTACAAGGCGGATCTCAGAGCAGAGAGCAGGCAGCAGGCTGGCTTTAGGGCAGCTCTGGCCCTTTCTCTCACCAGCAGGGATTCGGGCCAATCTTGTTCTGAGCACTCAAAAGCTGGTATGAAATAGATGCATTCCCAACAATGCCAGAGAAGATAACCTTAGCCTTCAGGACCCAGTTAAAATGGGGTGGCTGGGTCCCCGGCTGAAGCAGGCCAGCAGGAGAGGCCTTGGTGCTGCCGTTTCCTCAAATAATTCTGTAAACGTTACAGATGGTCTGCTGAATGAGGAAATTGTGCAAGAAATGTAGTAAACAGTGACTAGCAAACAGCACATGCACACACCACGCACACACGTGTCTCTTCTGCCCCCTAGTGAACATTTAGAATTTGAAACTCCATTGGCTTGAAGTCATTTTGAAAAGGCAACTTACCATCATTTTACAATCTTTAAGGGTTAATCACAGAAACTACAAGCCATCATTAAAAAATATATAATACAGACATATAAGAGTGAAAGTCTCCTTTTTACTCATGAGAGGTAAGAATTTAGTATGAATCCTTCCAGACTCT